TTGGAAGGACCGGTCTAAGAAGAAGCTGGCTTGGAGCTTTGGGTGAGTATAACTTTGTTAATTTTGAAACTAGACACTTAACCCTTGTAGTACGGGGGTAGCCCCACTGCAAGGGTCAATAAAAAAAAATCAAATTACTACTATATATGTTATCCTTTAGTTATGCTCAGAGAAGAATGCAATAAGTAAAATGTTTGTTTCCTCCTTAGTTTCATGATGAAATTCTGATTGAATGGTTGTAATGAAAATATAAGATAAGCATTAGCTTTGTGAGAGGGCTGCGGGTTTACACAGCCTGAGGAGAAAGTGAAATAATGCAATAAAATGATACCAAATGGAGTAAAATATTGGTAAATTAGTTAAATTAGATAAACAGTCTGTGGTTCATGAGAAAAATCCTGATAATTGTACTCCATTTGGTATAATTTTCACTTGTCACGACTTATCACTTATGTGTCACTATTAGATCTCCTGTTTCTTCGCGCTCCTTTTTGACACAATTTAATTCAGATATTTACAGTTATCTCACAGTTTTTACGTTTATTGCATTATTTCACTTAAGGGTTTCTCCTCAGGCTGTGTAAACCCGCAGCCCTCTCACACATCTTTATTGAACATTTGATGGTGTCTTATGTGTTCAATTCATTTAATCAATCTATTATATCTCTGATTACAATTCATTTAATTAATCCATTATATCTTTGATTACACAAGTACATTTTCTATTAAATTATTTTAACCTTTAGCGCTGTAACACAACCCTTTTGTTCACTTTTCAGTAGACTTTCTCCTTCACCTTATAGCTGCTTTAGGTATTAATTTTATATATTTTAATTTAATTTAGCTCCAGGAGCGCAGATTTATAATTTTTCTTTTCAAGCATTAGCTTTGTTGGATAGAGATAACTATTGATTTTTTTTCTAGTTTAAATTTAAAAAGGTAGTTAGGCCAAATAACTTTCCCTCCTGGCCTTCTTCAAGATGGCATCAGAGTTCCGTCTAGCAATATGGCAGGCTCTCATGCACAGGATGGAACATATATTCCAAGCTAACTTTGGCCCGTGCATACATGATTTAGTCTGCCATGTTTTTCCCTGCATCTCTGTAATGCACATCCCCACATATGCACATTACGTATAGTTATATCCCCAGAGTTGCACATTGTGAAACAGTGTGGAGTTTCACTTCCATGCTCCCACAAAGTTTTCATCAATATTACGGTGAAATCCCGCTCATGCGCAGTAGTGATAAGTCTGGCCTGTCACTACGAGGTTCTCGCCACCGTATTGTGGTGTTAAAAGTATGGTAGTGAGATCCCTGCACATGGATCTTTTCATAAAAAAATATAGAAATAATATAATATAATAATAGAAGTAATATAGAAATAACTCTCAGTTTCCATGCCATAGTTTATTTGGTTTAGCTTGCATCATATTAAGTTCATACTTACAAAGGGATCTCTGTCAAATTAATAGCGCACACTTAACATGTTCTAGAATAAACTGACAAGCAAAATAACTTTTTTTACTTTCATTAGAAATAAAAATAATGAATTGCTTCAAGTTGTTACATGCTCCATTGTATGTCTCATAGGACCAATTCTAACCTTTCAACTGCTGTCAACCCCATAATAATTACTGTTCGCATCCGTTGCTGTAGGTTATAGACAAGGGGAGATCCGCTATACAAACATATAGAATGTGTGACATGAACTGACCCCTTTGCATTTTACTGCTTGATAAACAATAATAATCACAAAGTTTGTATTGCTCAGGAACCTACATCACTATTGAGGTATTTCCAAGGACATAAATTCCAGATGTCATGACAAGCAATAGGAACTATGAAAACATTTCATTATGTCAGCAAAACAGACTTCTGTTATCTAGAAGAAGTTATGGAATTATTCACTAGCCCCTTTCTCCAACTAGTCATTCTAAAATATTATCATAACTCGGGTCATGGCCTTAAACAGGAAATACAGATTCCGCTGATGATTTTCAACATCGAACTTTATTTGTATAATGACAATGCATCAGATTGAATGAATATATACATGGCTCCCATTATTTACTTAAGACTCAGTAGGTGTTTTAGTGAAAATAACAGTGCTGGGCATACACTTTCGTCTTTAGGAAAGGATCACAAAAGGAAATCACAGCAAGATTGTACAGACAAGCATGTGTTACCAGGGTGAATACAAAGGGTACAAGCCACCTACGTAGCAGACAAATAAACATAGCAGTCATTTGTCCACTTATTGAAGCAGCAGGGCCAGTGTATTATCTCAGTTGTGGTCTGCATTCCCAAACCATGTGACACCTCAGCAAAATTCAACCTCACACAACATGCAGCCTTTAAGATGAGAAGCCTCCAAAAGGTTTTCTTTCCCACAACGCTAACGGTGTTCACACAGTGGTATATCATCGGTGTGTTACTGAGATGAAATATATAACTGACAATACACAGTTCAATTCACAGTGTTTAACAAGCGCTCTATGCTAAGAAGAATACACAAAGAAGCAGTAAAATTTGGATTGTTTTTGATAGAGCATATATGTTATGTAAGCACAGAATGCAGACTGGGATAAAAGACTAAAAACTCTGGGTAACATTGTGGGTCATTTGTGACTACAGAATGCAGTACTCCTTTCATGCTTCACTAATTTTGTATTTTGTGGTGGTTGGTTATCCTGACTTTTATTTGTTGGCACTGGCAGTTTTGTAAATGTTTTAATCCATTCTGCCTTGTAGTCCAGGGTCATTACTACAAGTGTGAGTACTGCAGCAAAAGCCATTACAGTGCCCCATGCCCGCCAGTTTCATCTCTATGGAAACCTTATCACAGAACTTTAGGCTGTGCCCATCACTAATGTAAATGCATACTGATTGTTTTTACTGCTATCTGACTTCATTTTTCCTAATTATTAGTCCAATACCACTTTGAATGGGTTAAACTAGTAAACCACACAAAAGAACCTTTCAGAATTTTTTTTAAATGTTGCATGTCAGTGGAGACTCCCTGTGCTGCTCGGTCTCATGACATATGCAATTATATGATCAGAGACAGATTAAAGGAGAACTATGAGATGAGTGATTTCCACTCACCTCATAGTTCTAGCCGACCTGTAACAATGAGACTGTCACAGGTCGGCTCAGTAGATCGGGAGGTGAGCGAACACATACCAGGTTTGCTCACCTCTCTATCCTGTCATGGCTCTCTGCCGTGACAGGGGGAGGGGCTGGATTCCCCTCTCCCCGCTCCGATCTGCCAGCGCTGACTGGCGGAACGGACGGGGGAGGGGGCGGGTACAGCTGGCTCTGCCTCTAGATAGGCAGAGCCAGCTGTCACTCACGCAGCTGGGCGGATCCCGTCATCTACGTCGGGATCCGCTCCGGCTGCGGCGTCTCAGTATACCGCGAGCTGTAGCTCGCGGTATACTGAGCTTAGGGTAACGGGAGGACGCTAGTTTGTGTCCTCCCGTTACCCTAAGGAGAACTATGGGGAAAAACACTGACCCCATAGTTCTCCTTTAAAGCCTGGTTCACACCTGGGCATTTTACAGCGCGTTCCTACGCCCTGTAAAACGCTCAACATGTGAAAACCAATGATTGCCTATGGGCATGGTTCCCACCTGGGCGTTTTACAGCGTGTAGGAGCGCGCTGCAAAACGCCCTACGCCCAAAGAAGTACAGGAGCTTCTTTGGGGAGTTTTGCCGCGCGTTTACATTGGTATTCCCGAGTGTGGATCGGGGTTAACAAAGCGGTAACCCCGAGCCACACTCGGGAATACAGCGTACAGGTCTTACCTTGACCACGATCCCCGATGTGTCCTCCGGTGGCTGCCGACTTCCACGTTCCGTCCCTTGCGAGCGGCCGCATCACAGGGGGGCGGAGCCGGCGGGAAGTTTAAAAGTTAAACTAAAAAAAAAAGAAAAGAAAGGAAAAATCAAAAAAAATCATACCGCCAGTGAAACGCGTGTGTTTCACTGAACGAAAAAACACGCTAAAAAACGTGAAAACAAACGAGCTGAAAAAATACGCTCAGGTGTGAACCCAGCCTAAATGCTAAATTTACCTTTCTAACCATGTTTCATGTTACATACATATTCAGCGTGTAACATGAAACATGGTCAGATGGCAGCCCCCTCACTCCCTTCCAGTCTCCCCCCACTTACCTGAATCACGGGGTTCTACCCGCAGCCTGCTGCTGTTGTTTGAATTTGGAGTGGCTGTGCGTGGCTTTACCCACACAGCCATGTCATCCATTCACAGATCCTTGACAGGATCTGTGAATGGACAAACCCTTGAGAAATCCAATCAGCCACTGCAGCAGAGGGACTTGGAAGTTCTCAATCGAATACAAGTGGAGTGAGATCACTGCATTTGTAGTCCATTCATTCTTCCCCACGCCCATGTTACTGCATGCCTTTAATGAGGTACAGACATGAATGGGAGGAAGAGTCTGCAGAAGCCAGAGAGTTTCACTGATGATCTACTGATTGCGGTTGCAATGCTTTACTGGCTCCAATGCAAAAACGAAGAAGTGTGTATTTTTTAATAAAAGCTGGAATTACTCTTCAAGGCAGACTACCTAAGCAAGGTAACAGGTATGGCACCCCATCTCTTCAATTGATATTACTAAGGGGGTTACAACAGGAACAGCAAAGCTACCCAATTTGCATTGTCTCTACTGATATGGCTCTATTATACACCAACTGCCTACAAGTGCATCCTCCCTTGTAAAGTGAAAGGCAAGTACATAGCTTTAACATAGCCCCTTACTACAGGAGAGTTAATGGATGCAACTGGGCCCTCTGAATATCCACCGGGCCCCTAGGCTCTTGCCTAATTGCCTTGTGGATAATCTGGCTGTGGATATGATATGGCTGTAGTTAGTCTTTTCCAGTTATATAAAGACCCCAGACTAACAGTTCAAACCCTCTGCTTTTCTAGATATGTGATATGTACTTTATTTCTATTCTATATATTGTGTGCAGGGTCAAACAATGGAACAGGCTGCTATGTTTTCGCCTCAAGTGCAACCAGGCATTCAGCAAGGACAGGTAAATTCATTGCAGTATAGCCCAGATGCTAAATAAGAGCACACCTACGCAAATTTATGTGCCAATTTGGATATTTTTTACTGTCATGGGATCTTGCTGCATGAAAAACTGCTGTGATTAAGACAATCCAGTCAAATTATTTGATTGATTTTATAATATATACATTCTATAGGTTTGTTCCTAACTGATATTAGTGAGAAAGATAGTTCATGTGTGTATGTATGTGAGAGAGAAAAGGGCAGTGAGAATGGTTGGTTGTTTTGGTAAGGTTTGAAGAACAAACAACTGAAATTAATGAAAATATATGAATTCTGTATTAGGGCACACTTACAGAAAAGCCCAATCATGCTAACATTAAAGGGGAAACCGTGAAACATTAGGAATTGTATTGTGTATTATTTATAATTGAGAAATGTGTATTGCTTACACTTGAAAATATGTAAAGCTAGCAAAATGTACCCATTCCCTGAAAAGCAAATTCAGAATAAGTAAATGTTGCATCAGTTTAAATCTGTCATGATAACCAACTCCATATTTAAAACGCAGAGGTATTCAGTTACTGAAGTTTTACTTCTGCTTAAAGAAAAACACATAGGTATTTATAAAGTGTAGCAAATCCACATTCATTTCAATAAAAAAAAACAGTGCCAAGAGGAGGAAAGCCATATTGCAAGCCCTGCAAAACCTTTTGATTGTTCTCTCTTCCAACCACGGAGTTTTCACTGCAGCGTCATTCATGTTCTCAATACAAGATGTTTTCTGCGCTATGGGTTTGGATATTTATAAAGACTACATCTTGTCCTTTATTGAATTTTCATAGTGGAACAGTGCAATTGATACAGTGCTGTTACAGGGATACTTGAATAAAATATGTTGTGTGCTGCTGCATGCCATGTGTATTGTGCTGGGTATGGTATGTGCCACTATGTGCCTTGTCTAGTGTGATGGGTATGGTGTGTGCTGCTATGTGCCATGTCTAGTGTACTGGGTATGTTGTGTGCCACTATGTGCCTTGTCTAGTGTGCTGGGTATGGTGTGTGCTGCTATGTGCCATATCTAGTCTGATAGGTGTGTTGAATGCTGCTATGTGCTATGTCTAGTGTACTGGGTCTGCTGTATATTATTGTGTTCCATTTCTATTCTGGTAGGTATGGTGTGTGTCACTATGTGCCTTGTCTAGTGTGCTGGGTATGGTGTGTGCTTCTATGTATATTGTGCTGTGTAAGTTGTGTGCTGCTATGTGCCATGTCTATTGTGCTATTATGTGCTTTGCTCAGTGTTCTGGGGATAAGGTTCAGTTTCACACCAATGCTAACTTTGGCCAGACACAACCAAGCCTCCATCTTCATTCTGCTCTTTTTCCCAGGTGCATAGCAGTATAATGTCATCTGCAGCTCCCTGCAAACTGTCACAGAGGAGTCAGATGAATTATTCAGTCTTTTGCTGTTGGAGGATGCACAGCAGTTAATTTAATCTGCGGTTGAGGAGGAGACAATAGGCAAAGACATCCAATTGGCAGTGGTGATGTTCCTGCAGCTTACTGTCAACTTGGCTTGAGCGATGGAAGAGGGGGTGATAATGAGGTCTCTGACTAAACCTGGGTGCCAGAAATATTTGAGGAGGAAAGTGAATGAGAGGCATAAAATCAGCAAGGAAGGCAGCATGGTCATCCAGGAGCAGCTCACAAAGGAGTGAAGTGAGCAGCTGCCCTATTCCACTCGATGGCACTGCTTTCAGTGGTGCAGTCCCCTGGTATACTCTCCAAAGTTCAGCTGTGTGGGCCTTTTTCCGCACAAATGCTGCAGAGAGCACTCTAGTCATTTAACGTTTGTGCCAGCAGAATAATAAGTGTGGCAAATCTATTCACCATTTGTGCACAACATTCATTAAGAGACACTTGACTGCTCACCACAGAGCTCAGTGTGAGCAGCACATGAATGGTCAGCAGAAAAATACCTGCAATCCTCCTTCCCTTTTCTCCTTTTCCACCTCTCCCACTACAGAATATTCACCACCTGCAGCTGCAATGGTTAGGAATGCAAGTCTTGCAAGGGGTGTTAGAGGCTTACATTATAGCACTTCCAATAGGGAAGAGGGTCAGCATGGGGCCATGCAGAGTATTGGGAAGCATAGACTGAAAACTCACCGTCAGTCTCCAAACCCTGCCCTGCCATCTCCAGCTGTATCACTGAGTAGCCAGGTGTCTCTTCTCTAGCTGTTGAAAAAAGCACCAAGTCACCCCCAAGCATCTCAATGCTAGCTTGGTAAATTGTTGGCTTTACAGCTGCTGCCCTTCCAGCTGGTGGAGCCTGTCCGCTTCCCTGAGTTTGCGGCCTGTTCTATGCCACAGTGGCAGATTCCCCACCACAATTTTTTCACCCAGAAGGGCACCCCTGCCCTACACCATCATGTAGAAGCTAATGTCTCTATTTTGGTGGACCCTGCAGTCAGGGGCAGGATCCACTTGACCACAGATATGTGTTCCAGCACACATTGGAAGGGGCGTTATATCTTCTTCATGGCCCATTGGGTAACTTTGTTAATGGCTGCAACCATTGCAGTATCGGGCACACCACTGTAGCTGGTGTGCCACTCCACTTACTAAAATCTGGGGACAGCGACAAATCATTCACACCTACCTCTTCCTCTTCGATTGCCTCTTCCAGTGAGTCATCATCTGAACCACAACTTTCCCCCAGGCTATACAACAGCCCAGGCAAAATGCTGCCATGCTATTTTACAGATGGTATGCCTGGGGGACAGGAGCCATACTGGGGCAGAGATTATACCAGGGCAAACCTAGAGCTGGCTAACCCCACACTATCTTGTGCCAGGAAACTTCACACACCTGCCTTGGGCCCTCTTTATCCTAACTCTGTTGCTGTAAGGCTGCACATGGCATAGGAGGAGCCAAATGAGGAGGAGGTGCTTTGCAGTGCTGGTGCTAAAGAGTGGGAAGACATGGGCCAGGCTTCCAGGGGTACATTTCAACCTTCCCAAACTAAGGGAATTTTATGTGGGAGAAGTGAGATAGCTGAGGACAATGTTGTTTTCAGCAACCCCAAGGATTCAGGTTCCTCTGCCTGTGGAAATGTGTGGCAGATGGACTCAATTATGCTCCAGTGTCTGCAAAAGGACCCCAGGATTCAAGCCTTCAAGTAGAGGGACTATTACTGGTTGGCCACCCTGTTGTATGCCTGTAAAATGACAGAGCTCATGATGCCATCACAGAGGTAGGAACAAATTCTACACCCATAGGGCGTGCTCTGGAGGAACCTCTTTTTTCCATAGACTGGCAGTATCCCATTTCATGGCCAACGTGCCTTGGATCCGTTACCATCTAATGCCACTATAATCACATCCTGCCACCATTAAGTCTCCAATACCACTGCTGGCCAGAAACCAATCAGCTTCTCTCTTTCATTTTCAAATCTTAACTGAACAAACTGAAGAGAGCAGCTGATTGGTTGCCATGGGCAAGTGCTCCAGATTTTGTCTGCTCAATTTTTTATCAATTCCCCTCTGTGGGGGGGATTTATCAAAACTGGAGCAGGCAAAATCTGAAGCAGTTGCCCATGGCAACCAATCAGCTTTGTTCAGTTAGGATTTGAAAATGAAAGAGAGAAGCTGATTGGTTGCCATGCACAGCTGCTCCAAATTCTGTCTGTTCCAGTTTTGATAAGTCCCCCCCTGTATGTTTACAGCAACTGTTTCTCAGTTGTAAAAAGTCAGAATTCTTTTCTTTAGGGTCAATCCTGCATTGCTCATTAATGCTTGTGTTCAATTAAGGTGCTCCAGCACTTAAAAAAACACAACACATACTATTTACACATGCTGCCCCTCAGTGTGACAATTTTTTAGGTTTGATGCAGGCTGAATCATGCTGTTTTTCTTGTGTTTTTGCACCTATTTTAGTACCCTGCCCCAGTCAACAATATTTATGGATATAGTATTTTTGAAACTGTGTGGCCTAATTGATTGTGACTGCCTAAGTGAGGTTTTGAAGTCTTCCTTTAGCACCCAGGGCTGTCTGCTGCCACCAGTTATAGGCAGCGCCTGAACCATGTGGTGGCTGAGTATATGGGTTCTGGGACGGATGTTGACACCCTCAAAATGGATGACACCATTGTTTATTGGGTTATGAGCATGGACCCCTGGCCAGAACTTACCGAGAATGCAATCAAGTGCTGGGCTGCTCTGCAACAAGTGTGCTTCTAGCACATGTAGTTAGCCCAGCATGGTTTTTTTTGACAGAAGAAATAATCTGCCTGTCTGCAGACAGAAACCTTTGTAAAAATGAACTAGTCCGGATCAATGTTAAGTACCAAACCCCTGATGCTGATGCTAATAAATTTTGGTTTTATTCAGGCCCCAACAACATTATTACATATTACAACCTAAGCATCTCCTTCCACCACTGCAGACCTATAATAAATACCAACTCCTGCCAACATTAACATATAATGCCACTATAATCACATCCTGCCACCATTAACAGTCTCCTCTACTACTGCTGGCCTGACACCATAACCATCTCCTGCCACCACTGTAGGCCTGCAAGCATTACCATCTTCTCCTGCCTTTATACTGTAGTTGTAGTCGGTTGCTACCACACTTTCAAGGCACCACACCAAATAATTTCACTGAGGGGGGAATTTATCAAAACTGGAGTAGACAAAATCTGGAGCAGCTGTGCACAGCAACCAATCAGCCTCTCTTTAATTTGCAAATCTTAACTGAACTAAAGAGAGGAGCTGATTGGCTGCTCCAGATTGTGTCTGCTCCAGTTTTGATCAATTCCTCTCTGTATGTTTACAGCAACTGTTTCTTCTGCGTTGCTCATTAATGCTTGTGTTGAATTATGCTGCTCCAGCACTTAAAAAAACACACCACATACTATTTACGCATGCTGCTCCTCAGTGTGACAATTTTTTTAGGCTTGATGCAGGCTGAATCATGCTGTTTGTATTGTGTTTTTGCACCTATTGTAGTTCCCTGCCCAGGTCAAAAATATTTGTGGATATAGTCTTTTTGAAATTGTGTGGCCTAACTGATTCCATTATTTTAAACTGTCTGTTCGCTCCTTCTGAAATTGCAGACTATGGAAAAGGCTTTAAAACTATGCAGACTTCTGTCTCAGGAAAAAAATACAATGTAGTTTTTCCCAGATTCAGTGTGCCTGCACTTGAATCCTACTGTGCAGCAAATTTGTACATTTTTTTCTGTTTCTTAAAAAAAACTACACTGTAATGTAGTATTTACAGATTTTTGTAGTATTTGCAGGTAATTTTTTTTTACCTGATATAATTTGGCTGCCCACTCCCTCCAAAATAGTGGGCTATCAAATAAGGAGTACAGTGCTTCAATACTGTGAAAGTACAAGATCGACTGTTTCTGCAGCTGTGCCTCACTTCCAAAATGTATGCGATACACCTACATTGCACCCCAATGTTTGCATTGTATTCTGGTGCTTTGCATATGTCAATGTACACCTAACGTTTCTACAGCTGATCCTCAGCTGTAACATTTTTAATGTTTGCTGCAGGCTAACGCATGCTATTTGTCTCCTATTTTTGGACCTATTACAGTGCTCCATCAGTCAAGAATATTTGTGGCTCTAGTCACTTTGAAATAATAGAGTCTAACAGTGCTTTTCTTTATTAAAACCTGCCTGGTCTCTCCTCATTAAACTGTGGTCTGGTAAAAGTCTTTACATATTCTGCATGGGATCATTAAAACAGTTTGCTGACTTATTGTTGCTGAAATAGGGCACTTTTTTGTTTATATTTTAATTAAAAGTTGTCTGTTGTTTCTCCTGTCCAAAAATGTGAACAATTTAACATTTTTCAGTAATGTGTATGGATTCACTTTACTGTCTTATTGTCTGAGAAATACATACACTCTAAAGTAGCTTTTTTGATTAAAGGCTTAAAAAGGGTAATTGCTTTGCAGAAATTTATATACATTACACTCATGCAGTGTGTATGATATTCCTTAATGTGAAATATATAAACTTTACATGTTTTGAATACTTCAAAGCTAAATGGGGATGTGGTTTATCCAATGGGTTCTAAAATAAATAAGGAAATGGATTAGCCAATGAGGTCCAAAGGAAATTGTAGAAATACTACATATGCTGTATTTAGCATTATTTTAGCAAATATTACATTTAATGTTTGATCCTCAAAAGATAAATGAGGATGTGGTATAGCCAATAAGGCCCAAGGCCTACCAGAAATGTGAGAAATAAAGTAAACAGTGTTAACAACATACTTTCCTTTTTGTAGTGTAAAAATACACTTTTGTTTTTGTATATTTGGCATGATGGGCTGTATGTGTTGTTCTAGTCTTAAAGTGCAGCCTACTCCAACTGCTGAAATGCTTTCTATGGCATCTGTACAGTATTTACAGACTTTTTCTCATGACTAATACAACTTAAGTTGTATTTTATGATAAAATCTGCCTTACCTGATTACCTATCTGGTCTCTCCCTCTTCTATTGCGGCCTAGTAAAAACACTTACATGATGTGAGCCTGTGTGTCTGCAATATTTCTAGCCTTTGTCATCTGACAGCTGCCTCCCCTCTTTGCCTCTTCCTCTAGCATAACAGCTAAGTAAAACTGCTTACAAAATGTGCAGTGTTGCTATACAATATTTCTGGCTGGTGCCTCTAAAATAACAGTCTAATTTTTATTTCTTGATGATGATTCATCTCTCCCTCAGATTGCTGCCCAGTTGAGCTGCATACATACTCTTCAGCCACTGTGCTATATGCCTGGCTATTATTTCTGAAATCTAGAACTGTTTTTTTTCCCCTGCATAAATCTGCCTTGCAGATACTGCAGTACTGTAGTACTGCACTAAAGTAAGATCACAAAGTGTGCTATAAAACATATTTTGCCACTGTTTGGCAATTGGTAGAAAGTTGAGGGCTTAAGCATAATTTTATGTTTTAATAGTGTAAACCTTCCAATAACTTTTAGATCTGTTGGGTCGGCTATTTCCAATGCTCAGTTCTGGCCTATTACTGCTAGATGGATAAACTAATCAGGTATTGCAGCAAAATACTTTTTTTTTCAAGCTGAATTGGATTGGGTTGCTGTTGCTGTATGCAAGCAAAGGAATAATTCAAAAGTAAAAAAAAGTATCACACATGCAATTTATGTGATGCAGGAAAACAGTATCAATGACTCTGTCTGGGAGAATCACACTGTTCCATAACACATATAGCTGAAAGCCATCTCCCAAGTATTTAATTTGAACAATTGGCTTTTTTTCTATGTGCCCTCGAAGTTGCATAAAATGTAGGGCCCTCACCCAGCTGAATAGTTTATTTGAAATTTTCTTTGCATTAGTCCATGTCCCCAATGGCAATGCCCAGCTCCCCATGCTCTTTTTTACAATCCCTTGCCCATTTGCATTTAAAATGGCCATAATTAATGTTCAAGATTTGCCCCACCATGTGCAATTTCTACTGTGGTGGATTTGGTGTCCGCTACTACATGCCATGTCTAGTGTGTTGAGTATGTTGTGTGCTTCTATGTGCCATGTCTAGTGTGCTGGGTTTGGTGCATGCTGCTATGTGCCATGTCTTTTTTTCGGTATATGTTGAGTGCTGCTTTGTGCCGTGTCTATTGTGTTATTTAGAGAGGGTGCTGCTGTGTGTAGTGTGTTCTATGTGCTGTGTGATGCTCTAAGTTGGGAATGATGTGTGTCCTTTTCATTCCTGTACTGTTCCATATACACTAACAATCTCTAGGAATTGGCAAAGCGCCTGCCAAGGCAGTTATTTAGCATAGTTTTCATAGCCAATAAAAAGCCTTATCAGTGCTAGGATGATTACCTTCAAATGTGCAGGCACCACCATACTTAGAAAACTTAACATCAATATCTAATTATTATTAACAGTTGGAAGTTTTAATTTAAATTAAATACATATTGAACTAAGAATTAATAATCACAGAATGTGATGAGAATATTTATGTGGCTATAAATTCCATTGCAGTGCTTTATTTTAACGTTGCTTATGCAAGTGTATTATTGTGTTTCAGCCTTTTCCACATGGGTATACTATGTATGGCACCCAGGTACCAGTGCAGCAACATCAAAGTGGGAATATATTACTTTCACCTAGTCATAATCAACGAACCAATGCTAATGCTCTTCCAAGCTCTGACCTAGTAGAACGACTACGACAGATGCAACAACAGCCCAGTGGTTACTTGCAACAGCAGGGAGCTACCTATATACAAACCGTGGCAAGTAATCAACGGTAAGATCCTGCTGGAATTATAACAAGTGTACTACAGGTAAACTGCTTGCCAGAACTATAATTTTCCAATTATTTGGGTGTTGCAGTACTTAAACCTTGCAGGCCTGTTATTAGAGAAATTTGGGGCTTTGATTGTTTGTTTTCTTCTGGAAATACTATCTGCCTGGCTGTTGTGCTGAGTATGGTTTCAGTGCTTTCTAAGCCACTGACCCTGGCAGAATATGAAGATCAGGAAAGTCAGAGAAAAGTCAGAAATCCTCATCTGCATACCTGTTCCAGGTCAGTACTGAAAGAAAAGGGTCAGGCTAACAACCAGGTAACTTGTATTTTGAAAAGGAGAGGTCAGCAATTTCCAGAGGTGTACTGGGGCATATTACTCTGTCTTTATAGTAAAAAAAATACATGGGAGATTGGAGGCCTGTTCTGAACATAAAGTGTCAATCTCCATGTTTCTCCAATGACAGATTTCCTGCAACATGTTGCACCCATTCAGTAGAGCTGAATACCAGAAAAATAGCTATATACATAATTAAAATACATAAGAATTTGTATTCCTGCCTATCTACTTAAATTTACACACCCCTGACTTACAACAGAGCCAACCTAGTCTACTTTCCACTGCTGCAAATAAGAAAGTCACCACCCTACCGTCACAATGTGATTGGATAATGAAGGAACAGCAGCAGACTGTTTATTCTTTCTGAAATAATAGAAGATTTTAAATGGAAAAAAATAACCCTATATAATAAGGAAAGGTAAAGTCAGTAATTATGTGCAGAGCACGGCCACAGAGATATTCTCTGTCTATAACAAATAGCTGAATTATGGTTGCTGGAACTGTCAGAAAGGCTTTATTTGTCTTAGGCTGTCCATGGGTACAGTGCAGGTTTCCTTATTACAGGTTTGCTTTTTTGCTTTCTTGTAGAACCTAATTCATTTTAGATTATACAGTCTACATCTCTTTAGGAATTTGCAAGTTACCTTTGTTAGACATGTTTTATTTATTAAGATATTGTGGTCTAGAGGGGAACAAGGTGTCGACATTCCTCCTACTTTCTCAGAAAGTGTGAGTGACAGCTGTTTTGAAAATGGCTTACAGTATTCTCTCAAGGCATGTTACATGCTTAGGTGAAGGAACTGTGCTGGAAGCTTCAGCATTATTAACTATCACATGTTTTTCTCATCCAGGTTTACTCATCCAGCCTTGCAGAACGCTTTGATTGGAGGAGGTCTGGAACAAGGAACCGTGAACGTTAACTCAGTGCAACTTAATCAAGAGCAAGTGAGACAGAGACAGCAGCAAATGCGCCAGCAGAGGCTTGTACAGGTAGAAAAAGCAGACTGTTAACACTTTTAGGAGTTCCCAAAAAGTCGCCCACCACTGCCAGCAAGAATCACAGCTTTATTAAAACCATCTGTTCAAAAACATAAGTGTTTAATATAAATGGCATGGCATGGCATTTTTGTACAGTCTAGAATGTCTACATTCTGCTTGTTTTTTAGGGGCTAATATATTCTTGAAGAACACACATATATTTTGCATTTATTACATGCTAAAATTGGTTATATAACCAGAGGAAAACTGGTAAGAAGCTAAATAGAATTACTTAACTCCCAACCTTCTGATATTTGAAAGAGGGACACATTTTAGCACAGAACATTTGGCCAGTGGACACACCTATCAAACATTGGACACCTTTCACACTGTCCGATCAGGAGTGGATTCATTGGAGCGTTACTATGTGACATATGTGTCTGTCCAGTTTTTTCACCCTTCTTGTGATGACAGGATCCCATATTGGTCTATGGGGAATAGGATGTAAACAGACATGTGTCAGTTTGCATCTGATTACCCTCGATCCAGCACGATCATGTCTGGCGAAACGGAACACTATTCTATATTTTTTTCCAGAGGTGGGGGCAACCGGATGTAAACAGATGCCCATGCATTTAGATTTGCCTGTCCATATATTTAAATTAGGCATCCGATAGGAGTCTCCCTGAAAAACTGAAAGGGGCCTTAAAGTGTAAAGCTGACCATATTCTAGTAGATTTTCATATGAACATTCATTCAAAAAATTAATATTTAAAAAAAACCAATACAATAATTTGCAGGATGGATGGAACCTTTAGTGCAATAATAAAAAGGTTGTCATTTGAAAAGTACATAAATATAGATATATCCATATATCTATATATATCTATATCTATATACAGGTGAAACTCGAATAATTAGAATATCGTGCAAAAGTAATTGCAGTAAGTGCTGCAAAAGGGGCCCAAACCAAGTACTGAGTACATATGCATGCTTGTACTTTTCAGAGGTCCAATATTGCTCTATGTACAATCCTTGTTTTATTGATTGCATGTAATAATCTACTTTTTTGAGGTTGTGGATTTGGGGTTCTTGGGGTTTTCATGAGCTGTAAGCCATAATCATCACAATTATGACAAATCACGGCTTGAATTATCTTGCTTTGCATGTAATGAGTCTATCTCATATATTAGTTTCACCTTTTAAGTTGCATTAGTGAAATAAATGAACTTTGCACAATATTCTAATTATTCGATTTTCACCTGTATATACTGTATACATATACAGGGTTATAGAAAGGTTTCATTTATTAATAAGCAGACATGTCATACTGATACCGTTTACTACATGCTGATGAAATTATAATTCTTTTTTAAATAGTTAAGATAATCGTTTGCTTGCAATATGTGTCATATGCGGATGGCAAATAAAAGGATGTTGGTGTTTAAAGACCTCTGATGTATATTTTTCAGCTGCAGCAACAACAGAGTCAGCAAGCCTTTGGCCTTCAAGCCATGCAAGCACAACAACCTTTGGTAAATACAGTGAATATTTTTATTGTTTATATTGAAGTGTCTTTGCAGTAGAATCAAAAAAAGGAATCTCAGTTTTAGGGTCATGATATGAAATTTTTAAAACTAATTTCTTAAAGTGGATGCATAGCCAATTTTTTTTCTAGTTTTGGATAGAGTAGGGCAGGGTTAAAGCCCTTGCTAAGTTTACTTTTTGTTGTCTGTGCACCATTGGGGAACTTTTTAGACCATGGTTTTGAACCTACCAAAGTATAACTGTCACACATTACATATCCATCCCCATTTTACTTCACTTCTTTGGTCTAAGTTGCCATTCACACCTGAGTGTTTTGCTCTGTGTTTTCTGAAGCACAGTAAGGTTCAGCATGATGATTCACATTATTTTTAATGGTGCCTGTTAACACCTAAGCGTTCTGTCACCTGTTGCTTGAAGCTCAAAAAAGAGCTGGTTCTCGTAACGTGTTTTTTGTGTGTACCATTTTGTGCCTAACAACCATCTCCTCCTCCTATTAACTATCTTTCCATTGGCTAAAACAAAAACACTCAAACCTAAAAACACCTGAAATATGTGCAAAAAAAAACCTTGTTTAAATCGCCTGAAATACACTCAGCTTATTTCTTCAACTGTTAACTCAGTTTGGATGTCTGCAACTCATTAAATAACCCTAAATCTTTTTTTGTGTCATAGCGAGCAATTGTTAATTACTATATTTTACTCCCTACCGCTAACCGCTACAATATAGCATTTTACAACATAGTTCCAAGTAATTCATCATTTTAATCAGGCCCAACAAAATCAGCAGTGGAGCCATCATTTACATGCTTACATTTTAAGTTTTTTTTCCATTCTGTCTGAAAATTGGAGTCATACAGACTTCTCAATGATTTCACTTTTGCATTGAATACTGCCGACTTGAAGTTGTGTCACACAAGTATTTCTCAAGGGTCCCTTAAAGCGCAGCCCAACCATTATATATGGAAGATAAAAACATTCTTTGCAGGTACAGTGATTTAGAGTTTGAAAGGGGAGAGACTGCATGCCGATGTTATGTTTGTACAAGGAGCATGAATTTTCCCCCCTGTGTGTAATTAGATGTGCATGTGATATCTAATGACTTGATGTGAAATTTAGAGCGAAGCAAGGTTTGGCAAAAGCTGTTGGTTTGTAGATCTGTTTTCCCCTCTGTGTTCCTCTGCTCTGACGTCCTTTCACATTATGGGAAAATTATAGTGAAGTGCTTGACCTGGGTCACTACTCAATGAACTAAGTGGTTAGATATTTTCATCACGCCTCTTGTAAGAAGCTGCCTTTTTGTCTGAAAATGATAAATGTAATTGTGTAAAGCAGCTTGAAGCTAGAAAGGGTTTAGGAATAAAGCTGAACTCTAGGCCGTTATAATAGGCACAGATCCATGCTCTGTAATCTTTAATGCATCATTAAATATATATTTTAAATACAAGCAGTGTAAGTGCCTGAATCTGACCCAGTATCAGCTCCATGCAGGTTCTGTTCAGCAGGGCTGGAGTGTGAGAGGAAGAAGCAGTACAATAAGTCAATTAGTTCTGTGCTGACAAGGAGCATACTGATAGGAAGAGAAAGCAGAGTGACAGAAAGATGAGCTCCTCACTGTGCTGCTCCTCCTTTCACTGTTTTATCATAGACTAGGGTGGGTCCAGGACAATTTGGGCTCAGAGGAAGTGGGTTGAATGATGGTAGCCATCAGACCAAGGGGATCTTGTGGACAAAAGAAGTACTGCAGAGGAGAGCTCCAGATTAAAATAAAATATTACAACTAGGGATGCACCAAAATTTCGGCCACTGAAACATTTCGGCCGAAAAATTACACTTTTGGCAAATTGCTGAAAATGCCATGACAGTCGAAAATGCGGCTGAAAATTCAGTGTATCCTAGCTTCTCTCCTCCCTTCTAGGCGGCGGTCTGTGTCGCCTCCGATGCAGCGCCTGTGCCCAGCGGGGAGGAGAGAAATTTTCAGGATGGACAGGGCGCTGCGCAGCTGTCATCATTGCAGGAGGCCGAACTCTCTGCCCTCACCTCCTGGGTCAGCCTGTGTCTGGATGGAGAGCGGTCCGGGGGGTTAACAGCTGCAATCTGTCACAGAAGGCAGAGTTCTCCTCCCACATTTCCCGCCTTCGCCTCCTGTATCAGGATGCCGAACGGTGCGGAGCAGTGACAGTTGTGATCTGTCACAGGAGGGTAAGCAACACCTCCCGGCTCTGCCTCCTGTGTCAGGATAGAAAGCCGTGATTGGAGGAGAGTGCTCTGATGTGTCACAGGTGGCGGAGCTCTCCTCACCCACTGCCTTTCCCCCTCCTGTGATAGCCGATTCAGGATGGAGAGCGGGTATACAAACACTCACCAATCAGCTGAACAGTGTTTTTACTATGTCCTGGTTATGAATGAATGGGAAGTGATCTACATACCTTCCCATTAATTTATGATTGTGGACATAGTAAGTACACCATCTCCACAATGTATGAATGAATAGGAACACTCAATATGGAGGATTCCTGTTCATTTATAACAGGGGCTTGAGGAATCTGTGTCTTCAATCTCTTTTTCTATTTTAAAAGGGAAATATTAGTGGTCTGTTTAGACCCCTGATATTTCCTTAGAGCCTCCAACATTAAAGTAAAAACAAATATATATAAATAAAATAATAAAAAATAATTATTTAAAAAAAAAGAAGATTAGGGAGAAAAAGCCATTTTTGGTTTCAGTTTTCATTTTTGGCCTGACACATTTTTTAGTTTCAGTCTTAAAATTCCATTTTGGTGCATCCCTAATTGCAACAAAAGCAATTTTTTCTATTTTGTCTTTTAATGAGCTAATAATGGTTATCTTGCCATTATTTTGGCTTAAAATTTTCTTTAAAGTAGAATGCATTCTAAAATAACTTTTCCATGTTGCTTTAAATGAACAGCTCCTATTAACTCTGGTTGTGACTAGGGATGAGCCGAACACCCCCGTGTTCGGTTCTAATTCGAACTTTTGAAACACCTGCGGTCAGGTTCAAGACTGTAGCCAATTACTGTTTCGGACGGCGCAGTGCATTGTGGGATGTTCCACGGTCGAACAGACCGCGGACATCCCGTAATGTTCGGCGTTCTGCGAACGCTAGAACAGGCTATGTTCGAGTCGAACCTATATTCGACTCGAACATGCAGCCCATCCCTAGTTGTGACAAACTAAGCTCAGCTAGTCTTGCAGGGTCTACTGCTTAACTGAGGGTTAAACTGCAGGTGATTAATTGCACATGCTGCATACACTGCCATCCGTGATTTGGTCACTTCGAGCACCATTATCCTAAATTGGCCGGGACTGCTGTAAGGTGTGCGGAGGGCTCTCTTCCATTTCAACCCTCTATCTGACACTTTTGCTGGACACTTTGGCCTCATAATGTTAAAAGTAACAGACATACTGGTGGGAGCAGCAGGTGAAAAAAAACTAAAAAAGAAAGTGTAGCCACCTCATCTAAGAATTGGTAAGCTGCAATCTATTACATTTTTGCTTTTTATTTTTTATTGTTGGCTGTCACAAAGCGGTGGCAATATATATTACAATAACATACTAGACACGTAAGCTGTGGAAAAATTTGGTTCGGTACGGATATTTAGTTATTTTGGGATTCGGATCTGAAATTCAATTTGGTTCGAGTTTCTGATTCGGACGTTTAGTTTCAGATTAGTTTACGAATATTCATTGTGAATGCAACAGAAATCCATATACAGATATTCACACTAAAGCCGAATTACCATTCGGGAGCTCCAGAAAGTCTGGGAGCCATATTAAATTGAGGCTTCCAGACCTAAATGGCATTCGGGAGCTCTCGAATGCTATTCGGAAATTCAGACTCCATTCGGGTCTTGGAGCATCAGTTTTAGTATTATGTATATATAAGTAGTATTCTATATGGCATTCAGAAGCTTTGAATGGCATTCAGGAGCTCCCGAATGCAATTGAAAAATTCGGATTCAGACCCATTCAGATGCATTAAAGCGAAAAACACATCTGATTGGCCAGAAAAGTCACATGTCCGATTCAATTTTCGTTTTTGAACGAAATTCGGACAGGATCCGAAATTCAGAAACATAAATTCGGATGAATTTGGATGCATTGGGATACGGAAATTCGGATGTGTCCGAATGTTCAAATTTGAGAACATTCATACAAATTTTGATTCGGAACGAAACGAATCTATAACATACTGTATATACAATAATTGTCAGGTTTGCTGCTGTTCAGTATTTATGTGAGGTGCCTTGTCTTTGTTTAGACCACTCTCCATAAAATAGATTCACAGTCCCATGATGTCCATTGCTTTATAAGCTGCCCAGTCAGCTCTTGCAATTCCAAGTCTTTTTTAATTCTATGGGGAGTTTGCTTTGGAACATACAGTACATGTAGGCATTCATATAAAATATACCAGTTTAAAGTAAATGCGTGTTGTCTTTTCCAGTTCCCTTGTGACTGGAAAGAATCTTAGAAATTTCTGATAAACTGTGCGATCATCTGAATTCAATAAAACTGCAACTCACGTTTATCAAGTATTTTTTAAGATACTTCTGCATTGGCATTTTTCCCATTATTCCAGCCCTTGCTTCTCTGTTTAGCCACATTATGGATAGCAGATTTGAAATGATACCCGGAGTAACAGGAAATTATTCTGTTATATTAAATGTTATCCAGTTTAAAAGGTTTTTCTGAAAGGCATCTTTCTAGAACTCCATTAATTGTCAGCCTGTATGCCATACTTCATTTTAAAAAGTCCTTCTTAACGTGATACTAAACTCAGTTGAAATCTTTGAAGAGTTAAATCTTAAAAATGCATTTAAGTAGCTTAAAGTGGTACTAAATGCTCATTTTAAAAAAATGTTCTACTGCTACCGCGCAGTATAGTGTGCCTCAACATTTTAAAAAAGTGCCGTGTGGCCAAACAATTAAAAATGTACCTGCATCTGTGCCACTCGCTCCCAGCTGCAGAATACAGCTTCCCCAGATGCCCATGCAGGATATAATGTGCACTGGTGCAAGCGCACTTGATATTACCGGAGGGGAGACGAGGCGTGAGACAATGTGAGTAAATGTACGCATGCCAGAAGCGTGCATGCAGGACCGACTCGGTGGGACACAGGAGGAAAAAGAAGGCACCGCAGAGCATCAGTGAAGATGTTCACATCAAGAGGCATCACATAAGGTAAGTCCTTACAGCTGCATTGGGGGGGAGGAAAAAAACGGAGCCTGAATTGGCGCTGACACTGTCCTTCCTTCTGGAGGGTGGCTACTTTTGTTCCCCACGGTCCCCATGTGTGTTGCAAAGTAGCCACCACTCCAAGCTCGCTCCCGTGATGTATTACAATCTCTTGTTCCGTTTATCAATTTGTATTGAGATTGTAGACCATCACAGGAACGAACTTGGAGTGGTGGCTACTTTACAACACACACAGGGACAGTGGCTTAACAACCGGGGGGGGGCAGGCGGGGCAAAAGCCCCGAGGGAGAGGAGAGAGTGGGGGCACGGCGGGGGGGAGGGGGGGGGGGGGGGGGGCGCTGGCCAGTGACAAGCTGGATCCTGCGAACAGGGGTGGACTGTGACCATAAGGTGGGCCCGTCTGCTTTCTTCCTACCTGGAGATGCAGGATGCCTAGTCTTTGGTCTCTTTCCCTCCCCGTTCCCTTCATCTCCCTCCTGGCCTTCTCTCTCCCCCTGCTGTTTCTTGCAGAGATAGGAGATCGGGACTTCAGTGATCACCCGACCTCTGCCTAGCAACTGACAACGCGGGTGGGCGGGCCGGCCAGTCTAAAAAAACATGACAGGCTCCCTGCTTTGGAGACACACAGCCTCACTGCACTGCTCCTCCCATGCCACTGTATAGCTCATGGGAGCAGGGGACACCAATACCGACACTTAACTTTTTTTTTTTAATTATTTAATTTTTTAATACGTTCAGCTTCCCTTAGGTCCCTCACTTGCTGGAACCTCATGGCGCCTGTCTGTTTACAGCGCCAGTCGCATATCTCCTAGGGGGCGTACAGGACATTGAGGGCATGCTAGAACTTGTAGTTCCCTGGGTAATAGTTTTTGAGGGGGGTGTACAGGGACAATGAGGGTATGCTAGGACTTGTAGTTTAATTACAACAAGTCACAGCATACTCTCATTGTACTTGTACACCCCCACATATCGCTGGGGGGGGGCGCAAAATTTTGTTCTGCCCCGGGCACCCGTTACACTGGTTACGCCACTGCACAGGGACCTTTGGGAATAAAAGTAGCCACCCTCCAGAAGGAAGGACAGCGTCAGCACCAATTCAGAGATGATTTGAGTGATACACAAATAAAAACATTTAAGGTACCTGAATGCATTTATAAGATTTAACTCTTTTAGTTTAGTGTCACCTAAATATGTGATGGAACTGAACACTAGGAAACAGAGAAAAGGGAAATGGAGATGATACATGTACAAACCAATATAATGTTTAATATTTAAGGTACTTGAATGCATTTTTAAGATGTAATTCCTAAATTTAGTGTCAGTTTAAGAGCAGCTACCAAAAAATCCTGCTATTACTTTTGATTAGTTAGACCTTGTTACATGGGCCTTTCCCTAGACCTCATAGCTGTAGGCTTATCTGGTTAAAGAGGTAATAGCTGGTATCTTGTGTTTTCTGTTGCTCGTAGAAAGACCTTTTAGGCATAATCAGGCTGAAGTATATAACACAAATCTTCAAGCAACAAGAAAAAACACTCACAGGGTTATTCACAAAAGGGTGAAGAGTTTGGAGAAGGCAGGAGAAGTGAACAATCTAGGACAACATAGTTGATTTGGACAAATTCTCCAATTCAGCTCACTTTCCAGTTCAGCTATGTTGTCCTAGATTGTTCACTTCTCCTTCCTTCTCCAAACTCTTCACCCTTCACTGAATAACCCTGTCAATGAACTTCTGATGCTTTCAAAGAAAAACTACAACTGCTATATAGTCAGAAAGTCTACTCAGTTAAACGTAGAGTTTTACCTAAACCACTGCAGCCATTTTCAATAAGATACTTAAGGGGTTTATGAGTGAACAGTTTTTATATAATAACATTTTGTTCTGTACATCTTCCCTCTTGGAGGATTGCAGATGATGACTCTAGGTGAATGCTACAGACTTTGAAATGGGAATGTTAAGAGTAAGAGTAGTTGTCCGATCTGATTTCACTTTTCTGATGTCTGATGACTGAAATGTTCATGCTGATTGGTTTCTATCTTACCAGCACAGTAAATGAATGTTTTGACATGGAACAGTTAATTGTTTAGAATGTATCTGTGCTTGTATAATGCCAATCTTCTATTTAAAATGAATACATAGTTGTTCACTGTCATGCAGTACTGAGCATTTCTGTCCAATAATAGGCCAATAATGACACAATATAAGCTGGTTTAATAAACTGCACTATACATGTAAGGTCAATACACCTCTAGGGCCTTCATACATTGTTTATTATATGTGATGTTTGTAAATCATGTCTTACAGTTCCCTAGACAAGGCTCACAACAAACTCAACAACAACAGCAAACTGCTGCCTTGGTCAGACAGCTGCAAAAACAACTTTCAAGTAAGTACATAAACATGATTGATACAATTATTTAAGACATAGTAAAGCAGTCAGTCCAATGTTACTAGTAATAACCTTCTCATTATTCCTGCTGTTTTCTTGGATGGAATTATGATTTTGAGTAATTGTGTTTCATGCTCGTTTTATTGAGGGACACAGTATTCAGAGACAATCGGGTTATACAAAAAAAGTGACTATCGGTTTAAACCCTCTAACTCCCCACATACCTCGGGTTCCTTGCTAATGTTCTAGTAGAATGGTTCTCTTTTTTCTGTCTTTACTAGCCATTTTTCCTTTTCTCTTCAAGGAAACATTTTTTCTTTAATCAAGACGTCCCTATACGCTGCTTCAGATGCTCTCTATACCCAGTTATCTGGATCAGCATATCCCCAGAAATACAGTAGCTTTGAAGGCTATACCAGAACCCTGCTGGACTGGAGGATTGAGGGTTTTCTGCGCTGTGGTGCATTCCAGGCTTGAGCTGTTCCACAGCCTCTAGTGTGACCCAGTCTCTGATGACTCACTTTATGAGTAGGACTGTTGGGCACCTTCATTATCTCTATTTTCCATTGTTTTACACGGAAAGAGTTAATACTGAAGGACTGAGTGATGTTGCACTAAATTAAGAGGAGTGTCAGGCATGCACGCATGCATGTTCTTTCCAGTTCAGTGTAAGGAAAAATCTTGTGCTACCGCTCCTCGTTGCAAGTGACATAGAGTACTCAACCTTATATCCTGAGCCATATTTTTGGTGCCGTGCAGTGCAACATGTCAGATCCCAGACATATGGGAAGCAGTCCTGCAGTACTGGGTCTCTTCTGCTCTCGATCCAAGTGTTGCCCACAGTGCACTCTCTTGATAGCCTGAAATGTTGTCTTTTTCTTGAGTCCCTACACTACTCTGAGTCTTCCTTAGCTCAGCCGTGGCTCCCCACTTGGTTCTCTCCCTTCAGGATTTCACTGCAGGTTTGCAAGTTTTGATGAGACAAGTTGCATACCTGATTACTGATTCTCACCACTGATGCCAAAAGCATACTCCTACACCTTCCACTACGTAATCTATATCTGATCTGCCTGAGCCAGCTCTGAGCCTTCTGTCTAATGAAGAGTTTCAAAAAAGATATTGCCCCCGAGGAGCCTCAAGAAGCTTAGAGACTGTTTCAACTCTCACAGATGTTGTGCGCACAACCTTGATATTGAAAGAACATCCTGGAGCTTCTACAAGTGCTGCTACCTGTATAGTTTACTACAGTAGTTTGACTATAAACTACAAAAGTAAACTATAGTTTACTTAAACTACTAAGACCTTCTTAGTGCACCCATTAGTCCCAGACATCCTTTATTGGGATTGGCATGCACCTGATAAGCTCTGGCAGCTCTTTACCCATCTGAGGAGTCTTTTGTTAAAAATGGGTCATTCCTACTGTGGTCCTGACAATATCTTAGTAAAGCTCTAATGATCCTTCTGGAGGATGCACCTGGTTTTAAGGATCCCATCCATAAATCTTATCTTACCTGTCTAAGCGCTCCTTTAGTGTCACCTACAAATCTAACTCCTCCCCTCCTCTTCCTCTTTCTGTAGGGGTCCACCAAGGCTCTGTCCTTGGACCCCTTCTCTTCTCTATCTACACCTCCTCTCTTGGTCAGTTAATAACCACACATGGCTTCCAATACCATCTCTATGCCGATGACACTCAAATCTATCTCTCTACTCTGCAACTCTCCCCCTCAGTGTCCTTGCGTGTCACTAATCTACTAACTGACATATCAGTCTGGATGTCGCAACACTTCTTAAAACTCAACCTTTCAAAAACTGAGCTCTTGATATTTCCTCCTGCCCGTGCACCTTCCCCAAACTTTTCCCTTGAGATTGTTAACACAACTATCCAGCCCTCCCCCCATGCGAAGGTCCTAGGTGTCATCCTTGACTTGGACCTCACCTTTCTTCCCCACATCCAATCACTATCCAAATCATGCCGCCTTCACCTTTGTAACATCTCCAAAATACGTCTCTTCCTCAGGCAAAATTACTCATCCACTCCCTTGTTATCTCTCGTCTTGACTATTGCAACTCCCTCCTCATTGGCCTACCTCTACACAGGCTATCCCCCTTCAGTCTATCATGAATGCAAAATAGACTGTTTTGTTGATGGGTTAGTAGATACCATCTGTCTCGTTGTCCATATGAGTCTCCCATCAGTGAAAATGCAAACTCTTTTGCTAAAAATGCTGGGATAAGGAACAGACATGCAAAAAATGTTTACTGTGCACGCTCTTCAAGGGACAGCATCGTTGTGGAGCTGCCTTAGACACACTCATCACATCTGTGAGTGGGGAAAGGGGTACTTATCTACCACAACAGAAGAAGCCTAGACCTCAGGCCGGGAAGGCTCAGCACCCGTCTGAGACCAAGAATAGTTCCCTTTGTTACTCTGAGGCCTTAACCTCCAAAGGCAGTCTAAAGCCAGGTACCCACTTCAACCTCAAACCTTGGACTTCCAAGTCCCCTTAGGCTTGCTGAAAAATCTTCTTCAGCATTAAGAGGTGCCACCACTTTCCAAACTTTTCACATTGGTCTGGGTCCCTAACACTTCCAGCACTTCCTACTGTTAAGCCCATCCTGCATACCTCTAGTGTTCACCAAATGTGTGGTCTAGCCTTGCTACCCTCCCAGGATGTGCTTATTGTGGGATATATGGACAACCTCCTATTGAGAGAACATTTAGCACAGGTTTTGGCTGACACTGTGGTGCAGACAATACAAACCTTGGAAAGGTCCAGTTGGATTCTGAAACTTCAGAATTCAGCATTGGACCCGACTTATTGCTTAACCTCCCTGGCGGTATTCCCGAGTGTAGCTCTGGGTTACTTTTCCATACCATAAGCGGTAACCCCGAGCTACACTCGGGAAAGCCGCATAGCATTTACTTACCTCGTCCCTGGAGCTGCGCTGTGTTCTGCGGCCAATGCCGGCTTCCGTCGCTTGCGAGCGTACGCGTCGCAGGGGGCGGAACCGGCGGGATATTTTTTAAAAAAAAGTGCTACATTTTTTTTCTGATAAGTCATTTTAATTTACAGGTGTTTCTTGTAAAATTGTTTGTGGCTGCTTTGTATAATTATTTGGTTTTATTACACATATTGCAGGGTTTTTGTTAAGTACCCTTTGAACCTATCAGTGATATTCCCCTTTCCACTCTTATTCACAAGGTTGTCATCACCTTAGCAAGACTGAGCAGGGGGCCTTGTGCTGCAAAAAAAATTTTTGGGGTACTACATAAGGACAAGGTGGTGTTGAGGACCAAAGTCTCCTTCTTCCCAAGGTGTTTTCAGCCTTCCATCACAACCGGGACATTATTCTTGTGTCATTCTGTTCAGCTCCAGTGCATCAGAAGTAGATTATCTTCCACTGCCTGGATGTAGTACGTGCTGTTCATGTTTATCTCACAGCAGCTGCTTTCATTCGAGTCTGACAGTTTCCGTAAAGGGAAACCTGTTTCTCATTCCACCAATTCGCGGTGGCTCAGACAGATCATTATCCAAGCTTATGGTCTTAAGGATAAGGTTCCACACTTTCCTGTTAAGGCACACTCACCATGAGGTCTGTGATTGCTTCTTGGGCTTTATGGCATCAGAATGTTAATAATTTGTTGCTGTTGCCCACCCCTCTGTTGGATTGTTTTTGGATATCCCAGTTGTTTCAGAATCCTGTGCCCCTTAATTATTGAGACACAACATTGGATTTTTATAATTACTTCTTGGAGGTGCTTGAGGGACAATGGTCCAATCCCTCCATGTCTACGATCTTGCTCCAGGTATTCATTTCTACAAAACTGAGGTATGCTGGGAGTTGGAGGGGTTATACCAACTGGTCACTGTTTTTTTTAGCCAATGTCACAATGCTCCTGTAGGCAGTAGTATAACCAAAATGTCTCTGAATCCTGTGTCCCTCAATGAACTCCAAGAAAGGGATTTTATGGTAAGTATAAAAATCCAATGTTCTCAATCCATATATTATCTCTTATTTTAATTTGTATGGCTTAGTTATTTCCAGGGGTGGAGTTTTTTTCTAGGTCAGTAACTCAGAAAACATACATCAATATCATAGTTGGCAACATTTCAGAAACATTTCCAGGGACACCTTTTTTTGCTTTGTGTCCAGCAAGACATTATAAGTAATTGCATGTGGAGTATGTATTTTTATATCCTCCCTGTCTCCTCCCTTCCTTCTTTACACTAGCTTGGGAACAGGGCTTAGTTTGGCAGGGGGTGGGGCTTTGTCTGACGGGAGGCGGGGCAGGACGTGCTGGGGGCGAGGCTGGTGGAATGCCTCACCTGGAACAAGTGGTACCGCACGTCAATGATATACTATATGTATTGTACAGGATGTCACAGATGGGTCCTGGACTGTTGGTATGTGTCCCCTCTATTTGAGTTGTGGTTCCTTTAAGGGGCAACAGAGTGCTAACTGCCAGGCAAGAGGAAGTAGCTAGAAAAACACAGGAAACTCCACAGAATCTGAGGAGGAGTTGGAGTAGCACAAGTGTGCTAGAGAAAGCTGTGTGAGCTGCTGGTCTATACTGGACATTGCTAAGAACTGTTTGTTCTGTGAGAAGTTACTAAAAAATTCTGGTGCTGTACCTGTGAGAAAGACTTAAGCCAGTGAGACTTTATTTTTTGTTTTATGCTGAAGATAAGCTATTTTTGTTGGATTTTGATTGTCTGCCTTTGGGATAAATACAGGTGAAACTTGAATAATTAGAATATCGTGCAAAAGTTCATTTATTTCACTAATGCAACTTAAAAGGTGAAACTAACACATGCAAAGCAAGATAGTTCAAGCCGTGATTTGTCATAATTGTGATGATTATGGCTTACAGCTCATGAAAACCCCAAATCCACAATCTCAGAAATCCACTATAGCCTTGCAATTTATGTTAAAAAAGTTTGGGGACAGATAGAGCTTTCTTTTGGAGGTATATAATCACCACGGGGGGTATTTTT